TCTTGGGTTTCTTATATAAGAGAAACCCTGCAATATTCAATTTTGTGTCTGATTTAATTCATTTAATATTATGGTCTTAAGGTGCCTATGTTTTCCTACAGTTGGCTTATTTATCCTTTTTTCTTGAGTAGTACTCTATTGTATGTAAATACCCCATTTTCTTTATCCATTTATCTGTAGATGGACATATAGGCCATTTCTAAGATTTTAGCATTTATGAGATGTGCTGTTATAAGCATAGATATGTGACTATCACTGTAATATGTCTTTAACTCTCTTGAGAAAATAGTTCGAATGGTAATAGGTAGGTCAAAGGGAATTTCTCTTTTTTTGAGAAATCTCCATACTGATTTCTATAGTGGTTGTACTTGTTTACCTTCCTATAAACAATGTAAAAGTGTATGATTTTCCCTGGTGCCCTCACCAGAATTTTTTATTATTTGATCTCTTGATGACGACCAAAATGGAATCACAGTGTTGTTTTAATTTGCATTTTGTGTATGTGTGCGTGTGGGGGTGGGGTACTGGGGATTGAACTCAGGACCCTGCACTTGCCAGGCAGGTGCTTATTCTACTGTGCTATCTCCCTGACCTGAATTTGCATTTTTCAAGTGGCCAGAGATGTTAAACAGTTTTTTATGTGCTTATTGACCATTTTTACTGCTTCTGAGAAGTGTCTATTTCACTTGTCCATTATTTGATTTGGGTGGTCTCGTGTTTTGAATTCTTTATATATTCTAGATATGAATCACCTTCCCTAAATATAGAAAAAAAAATTATAAGTGCTTATTGCTGAATTTGGTTATTAATTCCAGGAGTCTTTTGGTGGAATTTTTAGGCCTTCTGTGTAAACAACCATGTCATTTGCAAATAATAACTTGGCTTCTTTCATTTATGAATAAATGAAATTTATAATATAAATAAAATATAAATAATATAAATAATATAAATAAATAAAATAATTTCATTTATTTATATTATTTCATCAATTTCATTTCCCATTATTGGATTGCTCAGTTTTATGTCTTCTTGGCTTAGTTTTAGTAATTCATATGTGCCTAGGAATCTGTCCATCTCTTCAAGATTCTCTTTCTTATCATAGTATTTACTAATGATCATCTGTATTTTGGTGACACCCTTTGTGAGTTTGCCTTTTTCTTTTCTAATTGCATTGATATAAGTCTTGTCTTTCTTTTGGTAAGTTTGGCTAGAGATTTGTATATTTGGTCTATTTTTTAAAAGAACCAGCTCTTCAATTCATTGATTCTTTGTATTTTTTTAAGGTCAGTTTCATCAATTTCTGCTCATCAAGCTTAATGATTTCTTTCCTATTTCTAGGTTCCGGATTGGGCTGTTCTTATTTTTCTTATTCCCTTCTCATCCTTCTGAGGAGCACTTTTTCCACCCATTTGTTTGATTTTGAATAAATTGTTGTTTGAGGCCAAGCTTTTGAAAGGAGTCATGATTTTAAGGTTAACAGTTTAAGAATAAGAACAAACAAAAAAAAAGAAAAAAAAGGGGCAGCAAGATAGTTCAGCAGTCTAAAGTGCCTGCTTAGGCAAGCTTAGGCACAGGGGCAGAGGATTCCCAGCACCATATGCCAAGACAGCCCCACCCTCAGGGCATGCTGAGCCAGCCAAAAAAAGCAAAAAAAACAGAATGAGAACATTTATCACAAGATCCCAATAGATTGTGAGATGCTGGGAATACTTGGGAAAACTCAACCATGTGACAGCTTCATATGGTTAATGATTATTATTGGTGGTTTGTGTTTATTTTTTGTAGGGTGTATCATTTCACTAGTTTTACAGCAAACTACTCATCACTCTTTCAACCCTGTGCAACCTCTTTTCTTTTAAAAATAAACTGCTAAACATTTTTTAAAAATTTGAAAAGGTAACAGTGTATAGCAAAGAGGAAAAACACTTATTTTAGTAGTACAGGTAGTAGACATAAGGGAAATTACATACAAGTCATTGATTAACTTGGAAGCAACCCAGAGAACAGTGTTGTCTTCATACATTAGGAATGGGATGTGTGTATATGGGTTCCAGATAGTTTTGATTGTTTAGTTAGTAATGGCATTAGAGTAACCAGTTTTCTTTGCTTGATTTCTCTCTGTATATGGCTACTCCATGAGAAGGTGTCTTTAGCCTTAGCACAAAGACAATTTGTGTGTATTGTGGCTTTCTATCTCTCTCTCTTTCTCTCTTTTTTTTTTGGTGGAACCGGGGATTGAACTGAGGCCTTGTGCTTGCCAGGCAAGCACTTATTCTACTGAGCCATCTCCCCGGCCCTTGTATTGTGGCTTTCTACAGAAAAAGTTGATTCACATTTCAGGAAAGTTTCTTAATATGTCCATTATTGATGCTAAGTATATGGTCACATATATTAGAAAAAAGCTTTTAATGTTTTTTTTTTTTAATTTATGTATTTGGTACAGGGTCTACAGGGTGTTCAGGTTCTCACTACATAGATTGGACTCATAGTGATCCTCTTTTCAGTCTCCCAAGCGCTGCGATTACAGGCGCACAGCATCATGCCCAGTTTCAATCACTGTCTCAATGTGCCCCAGGGACGGGGCTGACATGGTGCTAGAAAAAAGCTTTTAGATTTTTGCTTTTCTTTGGAAAACATTTTTATTTATTTATTTATTTATTTATTTATTTATTTTCAGGGCTTCTTTGAGGCAGGGGCCTACTGTGTAGTGCAGGCTGGCCTTGAGCTAATTTGTGTAGCCCAGTCTGGTCTCAAACTCACTGCAGTCCCCCTGCCTCAGTCTCCCAAATGCTGGGAGCTGGGATTACTGGCATGTGCCACGTAGTCACCCCCAAAACACTTTTAAAATGAGCACTTCTTTGTTGAGATCTCAATTGTTTTTGTGTAAGAACTCATTTAGTGAAAATAATCTTGATAAATTTAAGCTGGTTTAAATTTTTTTTTTTGTCTGTCTTTTTTTTATTTTTATTTTTTGGTCTTTTTGACACAAGGTCTTGCTATATAGTTCAGGTCAGCCTTGAGTTCACTTTCTAGCCAAGCTGGGTCTTGAACTTGCAATGATCCTGCTGTCTCAGCCTCCTGAGTGCTAGGATTACAGGTATGTGCCACTATGCCCAGCTTTAAGCTGGTTTAAATCTTAAAGCAAAAGATGGGATTTATTTTATTTTAAATAAAAAATAGATATGTTTTAAAAAATAATGGTGTAGTTCACCAAAAGCTTTTATATGTTAATGTTGTGATACGGTTACTAAAAATCAAAGCAAGAAGGGGTTGTACAACATATGAAGTCTTAATTTCTGAACTAGGATATTAAAGATTTCTGTCAGTTATCCTTTGTGGCAGTGGAAGTACATGCGGTTTTCTTTTGTCTTTCCTAAGACAGCGTTTTAGGAAAATGATTATCTGGAAGAGAGGTAGGCCTTAGTTGACAAATGAAGCCTATGATAACCCAGATAGAGAAAGCAAACATTTGCCTACAAGAACTAGCTCTTAGAAAAGTCTACTGGTAGAGTTTTTGTTTTTTCCAAACTTACAAGTAGAGAATGAAGACAGTCATGATTCAATGACTTACTCATATTTAGATTTTTAGGTAGCTTCCTTCCTTTTCTTTTTTCTCAACTCCACCTTGAAACAATGATTAATAATATCTATCCTATGACCTGAAAGAATATGCAGTGGCTAACTTAAATTCATTCAGCACAAGGACGTTCCAGCCCCATAAATATTAAAATTTTAAAGAGAAATCTATATGCATAACCCCAGTTATTTATGGCCGGTGATATTTTGCTTGCTTATTTTCTACGTTATCCAATTTGGTCTTTTTTTTTTTTTTTTTTTTTTTTTTTTTTTTGTGGTACCTGCGATTGAACTCAGGACCCTGTGCTTGCCAGGCAAGCACTTATTTTACTGAGCTATCTCCCCGGCCCTCCAGTCTGGCCTTAAACATTCAAATTCAAGTAATCTTTCTGCTCAGCCGCCTTAGTATCTGGAACTACAGGCATGGGCCACCTCACCCAGCTGGGCCATGGTGTTTTATGCTTATTATATCTTTCCTTTTATCCTTACTTACAGATTCTCCATTAGCCTGTAGTGTTGGGATAGTGATTAATTTTTTCTTTCTAGTAAGGACTAGTGACTTGATTTCCTTCTTAAAACCTTGTGGGAATAGGCAGCCTTCTCAACCAGCAGCATGTGAGAGCAATCATTTCCCTATACCCTTGTTAACATGAGTCTTTCCAGTGCTTTAGCAGTCTGATGGTATGCCATTACTCTAATATAAAAGGTTCTGTTCTTATATATGCTTTAGTCATTTGTTTATTTTTTATACTCTATCAGTTTCTTTGCTTGGTTTTTGAGTTTTTTTAGTCACATATATTATAGATATTGTTTCCTATGCTCTTTAGTCAAACAGGAATTTTCTAAATAATCATACCTGATTTTTTTTTGTTGTTGTTTTCACTTCTAATTGGATTTTGTGCCTTAATTTAGAGAGGCCTTCTCTATCTTAAAATTGTATACAGCTTTTCCTGTATTTTCTTTAAATTCTTTTTTAGTTTAAGAGACTATTTAGTCCTTTAATACATTTGTAGTTACTTTTATGTAAACTATAAACTATAACCTTTTCCCCCACATGAGTATAATTCCAATATCATTTGTTGACTAGTATGTCATTTTCCTATTGATTTTAAATTTTTCTTTATTATGTTTTTAATTATCCTGTTTAGAGGCCTGTGTTTTTTGTGGCTTTCTATCATTCTGTTGATTGATTTATTCTTACACTGTCGTCATATTGTTATATATTATATCTATTAGGGGAATTTTTTCTTTTTTCCAAATATTTTCTATTTTACCTTGTGTGCTTATTTACTTTTCCAGAATATTTCAGTTATTAAACCTTATTTTACTGCTATTTTAGATGATTCTTTATACCTTTGGTTTTATTTTTATATGTAGTTTATTCATTCAATAATCTTTATCTTGTTTTCTCCCTCATATTTCAGAGTCCTGTGTATGGAAACTCACATGAGACAGTTCAGTCTAGAAGGGTAGTAATTTCGCATAATATGGATAAAGCTCTGAAAGAAGGTAAGGATTAAATGAGAGCATATAATTACTGGGTAAAGCAGTTTGTTATCCCCTAGGAGGAAAATAATGATCTCTAGTAAATTTATTTATTCTTTGTATAGCAGTAGGAATGTTTTTCTTCATGAGCTTATATTTGATGCTTAAATACATTCTTGTTTTGGTTAAGTAGAATTTCAGCTTTTATAAAATAGGCATTTCCAGGTCATACAAAGCTAGCCTGGCAATTGGAACTTCTAACATATGAAACACAGATGTGCTTCTCTGTTCCTGATATAAAAACAAGTGTCACTCAGGGGATGTAGTTCAGTGGCACAGCACCTGCCTGGAAAGTGTAAGGCCCTTAGTTTGATTTCCAGTACCAAAACTTAAAAATAAAAAATAAAAGCAAGTATCAAGTAATATCTTCTAGCTGTAACCTAGAGAAGGTATGTTAAATTAAGGTTTAAAAAGATTTTTTAAAACACTGATAATATATTGTACAGAGAAAAGAGTTTTTCAGGTGAAAACTTGTTAGATGAACACTAAGAAAGAATGGAGTGATACGTAAGCAAGTATATTTTACTTATCATTACTTGCTATGGACTCATAGAATTTTAAACTTTGCACACTACAATTAAACTTTAAAAATACTTGTTAGTAAAGTACAAAGACTTTTCTAAAACTGACTTAAAATTTGACTTATTATTTATAACCTCAAAATCAGTTTTAGAGTATTAATAGTTCTTTTCAAGAAAAATTTACATACTTTGAGAAAGGCACAGATTCTAAGTTTGTAATTTGGTAATGTTCATAGACATATATAACTAAGCCATCCTAGTCATATAAAGGATCTTTCTGCTGTCCTGGAAAACTTGCATTATGCTCCCGTATGACCAAAACTCACTTTCCATTTTTGGAATTTGATCACCATATATTAATTCTATGTGTTCATAGAAGTCATGGAAATGTCATCATACAATGTATAGTGTTTTATGCCCATTTTCTTTCAGTATAATGTTTTCCAGATTTATTGCTATTGTGTTTGTCAGTTTATTCTTTATTGCTGGATTGTATTGCATATGCTGATATGGCTTATCGCAATCTACTCATCCTTTCTCATATTGGACATTGGGTGTTCTAAATTTTGGAAATTTAGTGAACAAAATGGCCAGAAATATTTCTGTGGATGTATTTTTTTGTTTTGTTTTGTTTTGTTTTGTTTTTTTACTTGATAAATACTTAGGAGAAGCAATTCTGGTATGTGCTGAGCCATCTCAATATATGGAATACAATCTAGACATAATTTAAGACACATCAGAATTAGTATACGATAGTTTTAATATTTAAATTTGTAAGAAGATGCCAGTTTTCCAAAGTGATTATGTATTTTTAGACTGTCATTAACAGTGTATGAAAAAACTCAGTTATTTTCTGTTACCACCAGTTCCTGCTGTTGTCACCCTATTTTAATCATTTTGATGAATCAAATAGTATTTTATTGTGGACTTAAATTGTATAGTCCTATAAAATATGATGTTGAATACCTTTTTGTGTGTTGTTGACATATTGTTGACATTTTTATATTTTTATGTCTATGTCTTTTAAACTTATAATTTATTTGTAGCTAAAAATATTCTGGATTATTATCTTTTATTATATAGAGGTACAGTGAATATTTTTCTCCTATTAATTGTGCTGTATTTTCTCTCTCTCTCTCTCTCTCTCTCTCTGTCTCTCTTTCTCCTTCTCTCTTTTAAATATATTTGGTACAGGGTCTCACTACGCAGATCAGACTCATAGTGGTCCTCCTGTTTTCAGCCTCCCTGGTACTGGGATTACAGGTGTGCACCACCACGCCCAGTCTCTGTGGCTGGCTCAGTGTGCCGAGGAGCAGGGCTGGCGCAGCATGTGGTGCCATGGATCAAATCCAATCCCTGTGCTTGCTCAAGCAGGTGCTTAGTACGCTGAGCTATCTCACTAGCTCCTCTTTATTGTGTTTTTACATAGAATGTAAAATTTTAATGAACTCCAATATATTTACCCCCTTTTCACTCTGTTCTTTTTTTTTTTTTTTTTTTTTGGCGGAACTGGGGATTGAACTCGGGCCCTTGCACTTGCCAGAGAAGCGCTTATTCCACTGAGGAATCTCCCCAGCCCCTTTCACTCTGTTCTTTAGGATAATTTTTATTTATCTGCTTTCGTGTTTATTGACCCTGATTTTTTTTTTTAGTCATCTCTAATCTGTAGTTAAATGCATCTAGTGAATTTTAAAGGTTTTTTTGGTACTTCTCATACCTAGAAATTCTATTTGGTTCTTTGTCTTCCTCTTTTTTTTCTTCAGTTTTTGCTTCACAGCTGGGATTTTCTGTCACTTGTTATAACCATTTTAATCTTTTATAATAGCTCTTTTAAAGTTCTTGTATGGTAATTCTACCATCTAGGCATCTTGATTTCTATTCATTGATTTATTTCTTGACTGTCACTTTTTTGGTTTCTTCACATATGTAGTTATTTTGATTCTAATTGAATGATATGAATGTTACTTTTTAGACATTCTAGATTCTGTTACTCTCCATTGTTTGTTTTAGTGTGTAGTTTAATTACAGACTGATCACCTTGCAGATCATTGGTTTCATAGACTGGTTTTACTTGGATTATATTCTTAGTTTAAGGTGAACCCCTCATACCTGGAAGCCAGTAGCCAGATTTAATGTCAGACAGCAGTAGAGGTATCTACTCAGCTATTTCACTTGTCTAGCTGTTAGTTTGCTCTGGTCTTATAGTTTTAACCCCACACATATGTAACTCAGAGTTATCAGTGGGTTTGAGGATTTGTACTTACATATTGTGGCCCTATCCTTTTTGGTATTCTCTATCTTTATTTCCAGCAGCTGTGGTAGCATCTACATCTGTCTTCTGATTATTTTAAGTAGCAGTAATTTTAAAAACATAGACCTGTTTGAGTTCAAACTGGTTTGTGCTTCTAGAACTTTGTTGCCTGCAAGGAAAAGTTGTAGAACTGTGTCTCACCTAGTATCATTCTCTCCTTTCAAAGGTACATTGCTTTCTGATGTTGGCCAACTTTTGATTGCTCTTTAGAGTCTTTAAATTAAATCTTTAACCCCCCCACCACCTTCCCTGGCATTGCTAGTTGTTTTCTGTAGGAAGGTAAGTGTGATATCCCTGAAACTACTGTACTATCTCTGAAACTGAAATTCTCTTAAGTAAAAAATTTAATTATTCAATTTTATTTTATTTTTTTCTTTTAAGAGGCTAGTAATATTCCATTATAAGTGTAATACATTAAAAGCATGTACCACATCTTGTGTATCCATTTGTCCCTTGATGGACGCTTGAGTCACTTTCATGTTTTAGCTATTGTGAATGATATTTATGTGGCATAGTGTCTTTATGTTTTGAAGACTTAGATATTTTCTTCATATTTGGATATAGCCTTTTCTTGAATGGGTTAATTTTTTTTCCATAATTTTATTGAGAAACAAATAGCAATGAGACAGTTTCAAACCAAATTGGTAGGACAGTTTCAATAATTAACACATTGCATACATTCTTCCTAGTGGTTAATTGCTGTACAAGATGTGGACATGATATCCTATTTACAAACACCATTGGAACAAATCCCTCTATTCATTAAGAGAATGTAACTATATATCTATCCTAACCACTTTGAATACACAGATACAAAATTGACATTCATCTGTATCCCCTTTTTTTGTTCCATTATTTGAATATTATAGATGTGTTAACTCAGCAAAATATTCTAAAAGAGTCCAGTAGCCCATAATCGTATTGGGTCTTCCGCTTGACTGGAAATGTCAGAAATTGTTGACCTGAGTCCCCTGCAGCTTAACATAACAGCATGGCTTTACTTCTTATATTTTGTTTTTATACTTTTCTGCTGGATGGTTAAGACCAAGGTAAAGCAGGACTTATGCACAAGAGTTGTAGCTTTTGGGTCTGATAAGGTCAGTGAAATCCCTTCAGGATTTATCCTGAGATCCTGTACCTCAGATTGTAGAACCTTTGTCAGTGTCAGCCATGTTGATGAGTCACGGCCATTGCTTGGCCTGGATGGGTTAATTTTTTAAAATGTATTTAGTACAGGGCTTAAAGGGCCTCACTACACAGATCAGACTTGTAGTGGTCCTTACCGTTTATAGCCTCCCCAACCCTGGAATTACAGGTATGCACCATCATGCCTAGTTTTAGTGGCTGGCATGGCATGCCCCATGTTCTGGGGCTGGCACAGCATGTGGTACCGGGGATCAAACCCAGTTCCTTGTGCTTGCTGGGCAGGCACTTAAACTGTTGAGCTATCTCCCTCGCTCTTTAAATCTTGATTGAAATTCAAGAAGAAAGAAGTAATGATTAAAAACAATATAAAACAAATAATAAATTTGAGCTCTATGTGGAACAGTAAGAATTACTACAAATTCTGGAAGTCATATGGCACAGTTGGAAAAGAAGATCAAAGCATATTAGTTATGTTTTGTTAGCTAATATATATAAAACTATTTTAGAGGTTCTGATTTGTATTAATGAACTATTATACATGTGTATTTGAGAAAACAGTTACCATTCTAGCTGGGTGTGGTGGTGCACACCTGTAATCCTAGCTCTTAGGCTGAGGCATGACTGCCAAAAGTTTGAGGCCAGCTTGAACTTACATAGTGAGTTCGAGCCCAGTCTGAAATATATAGGGCCAGGGAGATGGCTCAGTGGAATAAGTGCTTCCCTGGCAAGCGCAAGGACCTGAGTTCAATCCCCAGTTCTGCAAAAAAAAAAAAAAAAAAAAAAAGAAAAAAAAGAAATAGGCTGAAATATATAGGGAGACCTTGTGTCAAAGAATACCCCAAAGAAGTAAAAATAAAATGCTACCATTCTATACCAAGTACTCTTAAAAGCTACGTTTCCTAGAAAGCAGATGGAAGACAGGCTGAAAAAAAAAATTGAACCTCTAGAAATCTTTTTTTTTTTTTCTCCCCCTGTGGAACTGGGGATTGAATTTAGGCCCTTTCGCTTTCCAGGCAAGCACTTATTCTAAAATTTTTTTTGATTTACTACTAAATCTCATTAGACCTATTATTTGCGTTTTGCTAGGCTTACGCTGATTTCTCTGTGATGTGGGTCAGGTGATTTAATTATGGTCCATAATTATTGAGGACTTACTATTTGCTGAGTAGTTTCCTAAATGATAAATTGAAAGTTCTTGAGTCAAATAAGTAATTCTTTCTAGGATTTTTTTTTTTTTTTTTTTTTGGTCTTCTCTAAGGCATTGGGATGACCTCAAACTTTACTTTGTTAGACACTGTTTGAATGTCTTAGAAGTACCATTACCTTTATTTTTTTGTGATAGTCTTCACAAGTGCAATTAATGTTTTATGCACATATGAAAGTGAATATATGGGTATTGGTTTTGATTGACTCAGTGCTTTTCTGTTTGTTTTTGCTGTGTGGAGGATGTGAGCTAGGGCTTACATATGCTAGGCAAATAGTCTGCTGCTGAACTTAAACCCCTAGCCCATTAATGCTTTTCTGAAAATCAATGGTAAATGTGCCTGTAAGTAAATTGTCTAGGATATATGAAGGGATATAAGTTGTACCTGATCTCATGGTAATAGTGCTTTTAGTTTTTTTGGAGCAGGACTTGGATAAAGTGAAACTGATGTAATTTTCTTTTTACTAGGCTCCTCCTGTGGCTATTTCAGAGGACACTAGGGGATCTGAGGATTAGATGGTGACACACAGGAAAAAAGGCAATGACTTCTTTTACTCCCATATGTCCAACTCGTCTAAATCATGACTTTTTACCCAATGGCTTCATATGCTCTTTTTGTTGAAAGAATAAATAGATGAATCAGTAACAAACTAATAACCCCAACTCTTCCCAAGAGATGACTTCCTGTTGGATTTTCAAACTTTGGACAGAACTTCGGGGTATAGCTCAGTAATAGGACATATGTTTAGCACATGGTAGGATCTGGATTCAATCTCCAGCACTAAGATAAAGAAAAAAATTATACAAACCATAAAGGATCATCTAAATGAACAATGAAATTATTGTCCTTTATCATTAGATAGTTACTGATTGAAAGAGAAATGTTTTTTTTTTTCCCTAGGACACTCAAGCCATGGACATTTATGATCTGTGAGGTAGAGACCTCATGGACAGAGCCAGTAATATCTCTGAAGTGCTCAAGGAAAAGGCAAGCATAGGAAAAATGGCTCCCTTGGAGCTCTCTTTCTTTTGCTATTTACTTCACTTGAGTCACTTCCTTGTTCTGAAAATTGATAGGTAGAGGTTACCTAATGTCAAATTCTCTAGACTGATGTACTAAGTGGCTTTTAAACTTTGTCTCCTCACCACAGATTTTCTCTACTTTGTTACCTTAATTCTTTTCAGATTAACCTGAGTAAAATTCCAATCATATCATTCCATTCTTTGTAATCTCCAGTGGACCCCTTTAATGTTCTTGTTTATTTGATGGCCCTAGGCATTAACCCCCAAATATTTGTTTTTTTTTTTAATTTTATTTATTTATTTATATGCGTGTGTGTGGGGGGGGGGCAGCTCAGCCCACCAGGGGGCGGGGCTGGCTGGCATGTGGTGCTGGGGGATTGAACCGCGGTCCCTTGCTTTGCATAGCTTAGCTTGTTCTAAGTAGGTGCTTTAGACCACTGAGCCATCTCACCAGCCCATTAACCCCTAAATATTTGTTGACTGTTTCTTTGTCTTTAAGAATAAGACTCTCCATTTGGCAGTAAAGATTAATAGTATTTTATTTCATTGTGGTTAGGCATTTTTTTATTTGCTAATAAAGACCATAAAGTCTGTCATCTTGAATTGACTCATAGAGTATGTTTGCAAATATTTTATTCATATGATACTTTTGTAAATGAATTTACATGGTGATATATATTTAGAAGATGACTTTGTACTTTTTAATGTCTAGTTTCATGCCTAGCTATAATACTGTGAAAAGGGTGCTGATGTGCTATTACTGAAGATATATCCATGAGTAACATGTATCTTTATTGTGGAGCACAAATTTTTGCCAGTATTTTTATCAATTAATAACCAAAATGTGTTACCAGAGAAGTAGAGTATTAGCATGTGCTTAACAAATGTAATCGAGCATTATGTGGGTGATACATCCTTTACAGTAAGCCTTTAACATGCTGAGCAAGATCTTTAAGGATATTAAGTCTTTTATAATAGTTCTTAATTTTATATTATAATTTGAAATTACATTTTAATGAAAAGGAAAGTGCTTCTATTTTCCAAATGTCTTGGGCTGCAGTTTATTGACTACTTGTTAAAAATTCTGTGGCATGCCAACCTTTAATAATAGATCAAGGGAGAAAGAATTACAAATAGACAAACAGAATTTTGTTGCCAGAAGTTTCCTTCTTGTTTTTGCTGCATTGAGACTAAAGAAGACTGTAAAGCCCTTGTGGACAAGAACCTTGGAAGGTCATGTCCTCTATCCCACTATCTGAGGAAGTAATTTTTTCTATTTCATCTTAATTTGTCTACTAAATATCCGGCTTTGTAAAGAGTTTATGATGGAATGGTCACCATGTTAATGTGGCCATTTCTTAAATAAGTCTCATGTTTTTCTTTAGTTCTTCCTATTGATCTGGGGAAAGAACTTTCTCATGACTTTTATCTGTTGGTCCTTTCTGTGTTTTCTAGAGCAGTTGTACAAAGCATGTTTTGTATGTTTTGTCATATAATCTAGGGCAGGAAATGTGTGTCAGGCTTTTCATGCTTTACTCACATAACTTACTTTGTTTTATTTATGCTCTTAATGGAGTGTTTGAGTGGTAGGTAGGAGAGTTGACTCAGCCACCTCTTTGAGCACGTTATTTAACTTTGAGTCTAAATTTCCTGAAGGAATAATATCCCCTTACTGTGTAAAAACCATGGCTTATTTGTTTGTTGCCGGTAAATGAGATTTTACGTTTAGCTCATTTGTGGTTTTGCCATAATTTTCTGTATTGGGATCAGACACTTTCTGCTTTCTTCTTGATGAAGTAGTCCAGTCAGGGGTGAGATAGGGCTACTTTTTGCAGAAATCTAGAAAACAGCTGTTTTTTCAAATTACTCTTTGGAATTTAGAATAAAATGACTTAACTTTAGGTGATGATTTATTGTTGTTGTTTTACTTGTCATATTCACTGGTTAGGAATGTGTAATTGATTCTACCCTATGTACTAGTTCTGTGTAAATTTATTTAATGAATGGTTAAAGACTGAGGTAGTAGTGGGTTTTTTTTTGTTGTTGTTGTTTTTTGTCTTTGAAGTTATTCTCAGCTAGAAGGCACAATTACCTTAGATACCTTATAACTGAAGTCCATGGTCACTTTGAGAGTTTATATAAACCTTTGTGTATATGTGTATGAACAAAATTGTTTTATTTTAAAGAGGAAAAAATAAAAATAACAAAATAGTTTCAAAAGACGCTAGTAGGAAAGTAATAATAATTAATATATTACATGTTTTTGTATTCAAACTAGTTGTTTAGAGTACAAGATATAGTCATGAACAGAGTTTTTGATGCTCTATGTGTGTTTCTGAGCAGTGAAATTAAGTTACACCTTACTTAGGACTAAATAGATTTGGAAGAAATATACTTCAACCAAGGCTGAAATTCATGCCTCATTGGAGAATGCATGGTCTTGCCCCATGGTGGTTGAGAAGTTTGGGGTAATATCACAGCTAGGGGAAAAATGGGTTGCCATGCACGGTGAAGACACAGTGGTACCTTAGTTCACAAACTCAAGTCTCTTTATGATTTTTATGGCAAATTGAACTGGATGGGAATTCAGTCAAATTTCCTCATAAGGTCAACACTGTAGCCATTGAATTTGTTTTATTTTATTTTGGATTTTTTTTTTTTTTTTTTTTTTTTTTTTGTGGAACTGGGGATTGAACTCAGGCCCTTGTACTTGCCGGGGAAGCACTTATTCCACTGAGCCATCTCCCCGGCTCAGTAGCTATTGAATTTGATTTTTTTTTCAATTTTTTAATTATTTAATTTTTTGCAGTATCTGCAATTGAACTCAGGACTTTGTACTTGCCAGGCAGGCATGTATACCACTGAGCTATATTCCCTAGCCCTTTGATTTGGTTCTTATCTAACTTGATTTGCAATCAAAATCGTAGAAATAATCAAACTTGTCAACTGAGGTACCACTGTATACTTTACAAAAAATTAAGTAGATTGGATTTAAGATCAAATATTTGGAACTTAGATTATATAATAAAATGTGGGACTTGTGGTCAGACATTCTAGTTAGAGGAGAATTTTTCATTTTAAAAGATTTGGGAAAGATTCTTTTTCTCTTGAGTTACGTGTTTTATTCCATTATATTTTAAAAATGAATATTAAAAAGTCAGCATCAAGTTTCCAGTTAAAAAGGCTGTCATGGTGTGTGTTTCTTTCATCTGGACTTACTCATTGCTTGATTTTTTTTGCTGCAGTGTTTGACTACAGTTACAGAGATTACATTCTCTCCTGGTATGGAAATCTCAGCAGAGATGATGGACAGCTTTACCATCTGCTCTTGGAAGACTTTTGGGAAATTGTCAAGCAGCTGCACCACAGAATGAGTCATGTGGATGTGGTTAAAGTTGTCTGCAATGAGGTTGTAAGGGCTTTGCTCACTCATTTCTGTGACCTGAAAGCTGCTAACCCCAGGTAACTATTATAACACAAGTAGCTCTCTCTCCTCTTCACTTTAAAAGTTTTCTTTTTGACTAAAGGATCAAAGGCAAGATAGTATTGTCGAGATAGCTCAGCCAACTAAGTGCCTGCTTATGCAAGCACAGGGATTAGAGTTTGATCCCTGGTACCACATGCTGTGTTGGCCCCACCTCTGGGTGCGCTGAGTCAGTCACCAAGACTGGGTGTGGTGGTCCATGCCTATAATCCCAGCGTAGGGGAGGCTGAAAACAGGAGGATCAATGAGTCTGAGCTGTATAGTGAGACCCAAATACATTAAAAAAAAAAAAAAGATATTCTGCTTTTTGTTCACATTTGACTTGAAAATACAAACATTTGGGGGCAGAGTAGTTAGTGTTGCGATACAGTGGATTTTTTAAAAATAAATTTCTGATAGCCACTTTAAAAATATACTTAATTTAATAAACAACTTTTGACAGTGTGATGAATTTTACCAAGACAGTGCCATGAAGAACTTGTTAGAATTTTGTTAGAGATTGTAAAGTTCAGAATAGTGTTTTGTAATATAATGGTGCCAATGAATTTACAAATTTCGGAAAAATTAAGTTTTATATTTCTTTTGTGAATTCTATGCTAAGAGCTCAATTGCTTTAGAATGTCCTTAAAATTAATTTTTAAGGAAATTTAACATTGGAGCATATGGTCTCTAATGAGAGAATTTGTTTCATTGTAAAAATTGCTAAAGTGTAGGCTTATTAGATCTTTGCATCAGTACATCAAAAAGGTCTCTTTGTTTCTGTTGGGTGAGAAACTACCTTTGGAAGAATACTTCAATAAGGGCATTTCTCTGCTCATAACAAATGCTTGTTCTTTTAGTTTTCCAGTAGGATTTTGTTTTTCTTATATTTTACTCTTGAATTCAAGTGAAGGAATAGCATAGTACTTATAACTTGTACATAAAAAGTAGTTTTATTGAAACAAGTAGCCTACTGTCTGTTTGGATATGTACTTGACATAGAGGTGGGACCATCTCTTATTAATAAAGCCTATTCTCACTTTTAGCAAAGAGATGAAGTATTTATACCATGTACTAATGGGGTACACCAGCATTGACATTCTATTGTGCTGATAACCCATTTTCTCTTTTAAGAAGTTCTGTTGTATAACATCATTAGAAAATAGTCCCTAGTTTTGCTCTTGCATGGGAGTTTGTTGCTAAATGTGGTTGGAGCAGACCGCCATTCTGTTCTATTGCCACTATTGTGAGGTGTTTTGTTGCCCAAAATCTACTGGCCTAAGGTTGGTGAAGCCAAAACCCAGAGCCATTACATGCCCATTGTTTTCCAGCTTGCTGCCCTCCTAGGTACTGCAAACTTTGCTTTATACTGACACATAGTGAGAAATACATTTTATTTTATTTTATTTTTTAAAATGCATTGCTTTTTTTTATTATTATTTATTCATTTGTTCATTTATTTATTTATTTTGTGTGTTTGTGGCCTGCTCAGCCTACCAGGGGGCGGGGCTGGCTGGCATGTGGTGCTGGGGGATTGAACCGCGGTCCCTGTGCTTTGCTTTGCTTAGCTTAGCTTAGCTTGTTCTAAGTAGGTGCTTTAGACCACTGAGCCATCTCCCCAACTCCGAGAAATACATTTTAAATTGTGGCACACTTTCATAAAGCTATTCTGTTGGGGCTGGCGAGATAGCTCAGCGGACTAAAGCACCTGCTTAGGCCAATGCAGGGACTGTGGGTTAAAACCCCCAGCACCACATGCTGTGCCAGCCCTGCCTCCAGGGCAGGCTGAGCCAGCCACAGAGTCCAGACATAGTGGCTCACACCTGTAATTCCAGCGCTCCAGAGGCTGAAAACAGAAGGATCACTATGAGTCTGAGCTGTGTAGTGAGACCCTGTAACAATCAAATACATTAAATAATAAAGCTGTACCATTAATGTCCTGTGATAAATTGGATATTTTTTTTTCTGTAATATGTTTTAAATGGTTTTGTAAACCATTTTAATGTGTTGCTTCTTGTTGTGACCCATCAGGTGCAAGTACTATATTACTATAGAGCAGTAGTTCTCAGATATATTGGTCTGAGCATTCTTCTCCAATCTTAAAAGCTACTTAGAACTTAGAGCTTTCATTTATATGAGTCATATCTAGTGGCTGACTGTACACATCTCTTCCCAGTGCCAAATTCAGTGAAATCATATTGCTAGCTTGGAGCTGCCATTGAACTGTAGATGGGCAGATATTTTCAGTTGACATCTTTTTTCATAGAGAGCCAGTCAGTAAACATTTACTCGCAGCATTTGTCACATTTAATCAATATTTACCATACTAGGTATTAAAACAAAAGTTTTCCAAGTACAAGAGTACAGAGTACATTTTCCGTTTTCTGTCAGTGGTAATGTCATCACACGTTGTGTAGCCTCTGGAAAATTCCCACTATACTTTTGAGAATGCAAGCAAAAAGGTCTAATAACAATATTTATATGACTGTAAAGATAGTTTTGACCTCACAGACCTGCTGAAATACTGTGGGAACATATTATAGGTCTAGACCACTCTTTGAAAACTGTTGCTTATAAGAAAGTAACTTTCAATAAGCTGTGAAGATGTGAATTAATAAGAAAAGTGAGAGAAATCTCCCTAGACTTCAGTAGCTTCTGCTTCTCCTTTTGAAGTGTTCGCTAGTGTCGTGGAGCACCTGCTAATTTGCTGTGGTGTTCTCTGGTTAGTGTTTTATGGTTCTCCCCAACAGATACCATCAAAAACTTGTTTGAATTCAACAGATACTCATTTTAAATTATTTAAAAGGGCTGGCTGTGGTGTACTCTTACAATCACAGCACTCTGAGGCTGAGGCAGTTTGAGCCCAGCCTGGACAATTTATTGATTTAGTGAGATTTTGTCTCAAAAGATAAAAAAGGGTGCGAGATTATGCAAAGACTGGATTGAATCCTCAGTACTACGAGAAAAGTTTTAAAATTTGATCCAGGAGAGCATGGTATTTAGGAGAAGGGCAGATGCTTGGAGAAATCTGGTGTTTTTATAATCATCCAATTTCAGAATGAGAATATATCTTGAGAAATCACAGCTTTTGAGGACAGTATCAAGATCGTTACAAATAAGAAAGGCATCAGAATAAAAGAGGGAACTGATTCCATATTAGAAGCTCCATCTCTTTGGGCTTCTTATTTTCTTATGCCAGGGATAGATTTTACTGTGAACTATGCTATTCTAGTTTATGATAAAAGAATAAGAATGTCTCACTTACTCATTTCTCCTTGCTGGGACAAATACTCGACACCAAAAATGAAGGAAAGAAAAGTGTATTTAGCTCACAGTTACTGGAGGTTTCAGTCCATACTCAGCTGGCTCCAAGGCAGACTGGCACATGGCAGAGAACAACCTTTTATGGTGGCGGAAGACAGCAAAACAGCAAGAGCCAAAGGGAAGAGTAACAGCAACAATGGCAACAGAGAGGAAGTCTGTCTCCCTTAAGTTGCATTCAGGCTGTATGCCCCAGGCTGGGTGTAGTACTCACACCCATAATCCCAGCTTTGATCATAAATTCATGTGAAATTCTAGAAGTTCCCAGCCTATGACTGCATGAGGCTTTGGGGGGACAACTAGACACAAACCATAACAAAGAATAAAGACGAAAAAAAGAACTCTAGGGGGCCTGCCCCTTAGCTCAGCTCTTTAAGTGCCTGCTTCAACAAAGCAGTCAGGCTCAGGTTGCTGTGGTTCGATCCCCACAACTCAAACCAGCCAAACCTGCCCTGAAGGCATTTGGAGCCAAAAAAAAAAAAAAAAACAAAACAAAAACACTATAACATTACTCTCTAGGATTATAGATGTTTGAAAAAGTATCAGTGGCATTTTACATATAGGTGTTCATGTTTTGGAAATCTATTTCTGTGTCATCTTATGCCATCCACACGGTGAACTTACAGTAAGTCTAGGTTTGATGGTTATATGTGTATCTCCAGACCCCAGTTAAACAGTGCTCTTATCATGGAAATCTTCACCTGAATGCAGACCTCCTTTTGCTATAGAATAACTTTGGTAGCTGTGTTAGTTACTTTTCTCTCCTTGCTGAGTCAAAATACTCAATGTCCAAAATTAAAGAGGTAAAAGTTTATTTAGTTCACAGTTTATGGAGTTTTCAGACCTTAAACAGCTGGCTGTAAGGCAGGGTAGAGTAGCAACAGTTCATGGCAGCAGAAGGTAGCAAAAACAACAAGAGCAAAAACACAGGAATGCCAGGACAATCCTCTTTCCCTCCCTTACATTGTAGGCAGCTATCTGCTTGAGAGTTTGTGCAGTACTCACATCCATAACCCCAGCATTGGACCATGAATCCATCATAAACTCTAGAAGCCTGCACCCATGACTGGATGAGGCTTTGGTGGGACATCTAGACACAAAGCTTATGCAGCCTATGCAGCACCCAGTTGAATTGGTCACTATCAGACCAAAGAGTAATAAATTGCATTAATGAAAACAATGCATCCTCCAGTTGACTGCTAAACACTTGTCAGGGGCCAGCTTTCTGGTCATCCTCAGTTTATTCCAAGCCTGCTGCTCTTAGCCAATCCAGATCACATTTAATTCTTGCTGCTTTTGTTCCATCTGTCTTGTTTCTGAAAAGTCTAAGAATGATTCCTTTTATGTTCTCAATTCAATAGCATCTTTCACTTCATAGTCTTTTACCTATATTTGTCAGTCGAATGTTGGGATGTTAAGAAAAAGTTTTTATTTACATATTTTCCTTTTTTATCTCTGACATTTTCCCTTTCTCCTTTGTAATATCTGGTTATGGAACTTCAGAAGTAGTTCTACCATTTATCACCTCTGTACTTTATTCACTTAAGTACACAGATTTTTATTTTCTTGTCTATAAAATGATGGTGGTGATATCTACTTGTTGATGTAGGTGGAAGAGTGAAGAAATACTATAATATAGAGATTATGCAAGGAGCCAGACATAATGGCACGTGTCAAG